ATTTAAGCTGGACTATGAACAATATTCTCAAACTTTCTGAATATGTTTGTGTGTTTATGTATTATACATATATGATTCAGTATGGAGATGAATAAACGTTAAAGTAGCTCTACGTCAGAGGAATGGTTCAGAAGCAGAGACAACATTACTACAGTAATCAACATGTGGCAGCAGATTACTGTCAAACTATGATCGCTGTAGATTATATGAACTTCAGTTTGCTTTCTTTCAGCCCATACTAACTTAGAAAATCTAAAACCAACTCTATAATTTTAAATGTTTAAGAGGAATTCACAAGGGAGATTACCTATGGATAACTAAAATTTAACTCAGATAAGTTAATTGCAACATTTTCAGAACCTCTCAAAGTGAAGTATACATCCTCGGGGACAATACTTTGCCATTTCCACTTGCCACTAAGAGGTTTTCATATTTTCATCATTCGTGACACTTAAGTATCATTTCTAACTCCAAATTATTATGCACTGAATAATTTTAGTTTAAAAATATCAATTACTTCAAGAGCTTTTGATAATTCACAATCATCAGAATTTATAGAAGACATGCAGGTAATTCTAAGTGTCATATATAATTTTTAAATTGCAGACTTCAACTACAGATCAATTTTAAATATTTTTTCTCTCTTTATTTAGAGCATTTGTTTTGATATGGTTTGAACTCTTTTTCTTTTTTTATTACTTTTAACTATCTAAAGGTAATTCATCCCAGAACATAGAATCATATAGCTAGTTACTACATACTTCTCCGGAATACAACTAAATTCAAAAACAAAGACAACCACTATACTACTGATATAGTGTTGGTACCTAAGTCAGTACAGTAATAGTAAGACACACTGGAGTTGCCAATAAAATTCTCCAACTATTTTGTATGCTCCTCGAAGCAGAATACTGTCTATTTTAAAATCTTATCCACCACTGCAGCTACAAAACAGGCACTCAAAAATATGTCAAACTGATAAATGGGTGGATATATTTAAAGTTATTAATGAAGTAGCAATAATATTGATTTACTTATCTGATTTCGAACATCCTGAGAGTAGTTACCAGAGTGGTTTTTGCTATTATCTTGTAAAATAATGTTCAATACTTAGAAGATACTTGGAAGAGCTGAAAAAATGACTAGACAACTTTTGAATTCTCTCGTCTCATAAAAAAGAAGATTTGTAAGGAAACTAGAACTGAGTCCAATTTCACTCCTGATAAATTAGTCCAGCCCCTGTTTAAATACTTCCAGAAACAGGACATCCACTAGAGTGCCAGCATACAGTTCTAGGAAACCCACTCCACCATGGGATACTCTTAAGTATTACAAAGGTCTTCTTCACAGGAGCACCTGGGTGGCTCAGTTGAGCGTCTGCCTTCAGCTCAGGTCATGAGCCAGAAGTCCCAGGATCAAGCCCCAGGATGGGCTCCCTGGTCGGCAAGGAGTCTGCTTCTCCCTCTCCCTCTACCCCTCCCCCTGCTTGTGCTCTCTCTCTCTCTCTAAAAGAAATAAATAAAATCTTAAAAAAAAAAAAAAAAGTCTTCCTCACAGTGGCTTAAACAACATCTCTGTCACTCCATCCTCTGAGCTAAATTTTTTGTTTCCTTTTTTGTTTCAATATCAAGTACATGTACTACCGTTTCTAAGTGAAAATACTTTCAAGAGTTTGAAGACATTTATTATGACTTTTATTCATACAGCATAGCTTCTATCCCTTTCTTCAAGATGGAAGCCCTCCTAAAATACAGAGTTGGCATTCTGACGGTCTCAGATGGAGAAAAGAAAAGTAACACTCCAGATTTGCTCCCACCAGAGCAAAATACAATAGTATTTGATTGAATCACACAAAATTGCCAACACTCAACCATTTTTGACCTACAAAAATGACAATTTCATGTAGTTCAACATAATAGCATTATCTTCTTTGATGTAAGCACGGCACATCCATCAATGCATCCTCAGATTGCATTAGCTTTTTAGCAGCTGTGTAACACAACTGCTGCATATTAGGTTTGAGGCCAAGTAAATCCCATAGGTCATTTTCCCATCAACTGCTGGGCTTATGCAATGAATCTTACAGAATTTTATAATGTGGGAATTTACTTACCTGCCACTTGCTAGTTTTGTTATCCTTATAAAAATTTTTTGTTCTCTTAGGGTCCCAATGTATCCTGAATCATATGTTTCCTATGTGCCAGACACAGTTATCAGTCATTCACATTTGATCTTCCTAACCACTACATGAGCTAGAATCATTAGTTCCCACATTACAGATGAGGAAACAGACACTGAGTGGTCAAGTGCATGCCCTAAACTACTACATCACCTGACTCTCAAAATAGGGAAACTGTCTTTCTCAAACGGTTTTGTGGCAATTTAATAATATACATGTAACGTATTTAATTTTTTCACACCTTTCCTTTATCTAGCAAGTTCAATTAGCTGCCAAATACAATGGACTTCAGCTCCTAAATGCCTCTTTCTTGCATCTGGCACTTCCTTTCTATTCTTCCAGACTATTCTCCAGTTACTAACACTTTTAATTCTTCTGAAATGCTGTCTATTGAAATTACCTCTTAACTGGTTTCTCTTCCTCTCCATCCATCTGTTCCTATCCACACTATGTAACTCTGGGTCCTATTTCTCATCACTCTCTAAATTTCTACTTTGTTTTTATACTCCCTTTGAGTATTAGTTCCTCTTACTAACTCTTCTTACTCCTTCAAGGAGAAAAAAATAAACAAGTAGAATTTTGTTTTCTGTCTTATTTTCTTATTATGCTATTTTCCCTAAAGAGTAGGCCTTCTTTCCTATTTGTCTCTCATTCAGAGACAAGCTGAAATAAATAAGAATAAAGCCCAAAAATTAATTTATAGAATTTCCTTCCATTAACAAAACCAGAATGTGAATGCTGGGATGAGATCAGGATTCTGCAAAGCAAGGTGGTCTACAAGAAAGGCTCTGGACCTGATGGCCAGGGCTGAAATCCTCATTCTGTGATTTATAACTGGATAACTTCCATCCTGTCACTTAAGCTTTCTGTGCTTTAGTTTCCTCATGCGTAAAATAAGGATTATGATAGCATCACCTCTTAAGGTTATTGTGCAAACAATAAATGAGCCAATATATTTAAAGGGCTGAGAACAGGAGTTAGTAGGAAAGATCTTGTATAGGCAATAGGAAAGCCTCATCACTAGAGATCTGTATTGGCCCAGATGCCTGGTCCCGTACCTTGTGAATATTTATCTCAGTTCCTTTACTGGTCCCTCAAGTAATGTTATTTTTTTTTCTTTTTTTTTTTAAAGATTTTATTTATTTATTTGACAGAGAGAGAGAGAGAGAGATCACAAGTACGCAGAGAGGCGGGCAGAAAGAGGGGGATAAGCAGGCTCCCCGCTGAGCAGAGAGCCCGATGCGGGGCTTGATCCCAGGACCCTGAGATCATGACCTGAGCCAAAGGCAGAGGCTTAACTCACTGAGCCACCCAGGTGCCCCATAATGTTATTTTCTGAACACTCCTGGTAAGTGCCGGTCCCCAGCTAGCTTGACTCTTAATGGGCAGTCAGCAGTTCCACTGGATTGCCTCAGGCCTTTAAACAAGGGAACTCTAGAGTGAATGACAAGAGACAGCAAATCTTTTTGGAACATAATCAAAGGAATAATTAGATAGAGGAACAAGAAAGAGGAGCATGGACTCAGGAGAATGTCCTAACAGAGAAGACAAAAGAGAACATAGGTCTGCTGAAGGAAGTAGCTCATTTGAGATTCTTTTTTTTAACAAAAAAGAATTCACACCACTGGATAACTGATAAATAAAGAAGGTGTGGGAAGGAAAGTCAGGATGGCTACAAAAAACGCAGTTTGATATTTTGGCTGATGATGTTATTAGCTATATGTGGAGCAAAGGCAGCAGCCATAGGGTAGAGGTGATGAATTTACATTCGTGTATGTAGAATTTGAGATGAAGCTCAAATAACTACATGGAAAGGTCCAGAAGCAGTTAAATATGAGAAACTGGTGCTCAGTATCCCACTGACCCAATGTCAGTGGGAACAATTTTTGAATTGGTTTATTCTGCCAGTTTTGAGAATAAATGACCATGACCTTTTCTTATCTTCTATCTCACAGCTGAGACACACTAGTAAAATGGCTGGGCAGCAAGGCAATCTATGGCAACAAGTAACAGAAATCTCCCTCAGGAATCTCACCAGAAACTGCAACCCTATTAAAACAATGCACTGACTTCCTAGGATAGGAAGCAGATAGAAATGAGTGAACTACAAGCGGATAGAAATGCCTTTTATTTTAATAGACTCCCTCCTCTCCAGTGATCATCCTTCCACAGGAACATGGACATGCTCTCAATACAAATTAACCAAAATAATAATTCTGCCTCCTAACTTTTATTTCATTAACAAAGTATGTTGTGACGAGCACTGGGTGATGTACACCACTAATGATTCATTGAATGCTACATCAAAAACTAATGAGGTACTATCTACTGGTTAACTGAACATAATAAAAAACAAACAAACAAATAAATAACAAAGTATGCCGGTATTAGGAAACAGAGTTTTTACTTTATTTTCAAATAATAAATTACTAACTAGCAAAAAGTAAGTGACAGTTGATATCAAGCATCACACTTAAAACCCTTTAAAGCAGTATTTTATAAAAATCAGCAGTTGACTTCTAAAAGTGAGACTAAGTCTAGCCTTCAATTATGTAAGGATTCCAACACATTAAATTTACTTTACACTGAGGAAAATACAAGTTTCCAGGCTAGAATATTCTACAGGAAGGTCATAAATCAGATAAACATTGAGGATTAATAAAAACAAACACAAAGATTACTCTCATAAATTTAAAAAATGCAATCTTTGGGTTGAAGAGGACTTAAAATAACTAAAATCAGGGAAGCATCACCTTGACCAAATTGTAACTTAGACCATATTTTCCAGCACAATGATATTCAAAAAATTTTTAATGCTTACCTCTCTCCATTCTTTATTTCCAACTCCTTGTACATATAAGACACAAACTATAAAAGAAGAAAAAGTAAATATATAAATGTCTTTTTATAAATATAAGATATGGATGTATATAATTTATGCTTTAGCTGTCCAAAAGCTACATCAAAATGATTTCATAATTCCTGGGCTTATTCCTCCTCTAAGAAAATTGCTAGTAAAACATTAAATGACTAAAAACTTTTGTGAAGAAACAAGAAACCGTATCAGATCTTTAGAACGTAACATGCATAGACCTAAACACAAAAATATACAATAATTATTTGCTAATGTCTACATTATGTCTACATAATACATAATGTCTACACAAACTTTGCTTTACATAACTTTATATTATGCTACAGAGACACATACATTTTTAAACTATAGTTTAACAGTTTGAGATATTCATGTTACTAAAGATTAGTCAAGCTCTTCCTAAGATACCCATAATGCTCAAAGCCATCACAAGAGGGACAATCTGGAGCCTATCATCTTCTGTATTTAACATTTGCAACTCCCACCCTCAATAGCTATAAACAGGTAAGAAATCTTGTCAACCACAAAAGGAAGTCACAAAAAGAGAAATGAAGGGTTTGGAGTAAAGATTAAGGGATTAAAAAAAAAAAGTCCCACTCATCTGTCAAGTGAGCCCTAGGAACTTTTAATACCCACATTGTAATGTCTTTTCCCCAATGACTACTTGAAAAATTCTAACATCTCACAAAACCTCCCCCTAAATCACATCCATCCTGTACTTGTAGAGATGGAGAGGTACGGGATATAAATTTCTAACTATTTCAAGATTTGGAAACACTTGCTGATTTATACAGTAATGTTGCTATTTTCTAATTTAAACTGTCTTTTTCATTTTACAAGTTATCTCCAATTTTTTAATATACATTATTAGGAATCAAAATTTCAGTTCATCCAAGATGATGTTATATGTTTCACTTGGTTAAGCATGTCTTTACATATTTCTTTTATTTATAAAAAAGAAGGAAAAGTATTACTGTGGGACAAACCATTTAAAATTATGGTTCATTATGGTCGCCTTTCAAATACAATTGCTATCATATAGCCGTACCATGAAGTTTTAATTTCAAAGTGAACTGTCTTACATCTGCATTTTCATCTTATTCTCAAAGTGCTAAGCAACTCCTTCTCTTTAGCCAGACTACTGCCCAGGTAGATGAGAATGCAAGGTTTGACACCATCTCCTGTTTTTCTTTCTGTGCTTTAAAACAATTATTTAAACAAGAACTGTAAGTTTCATACAATTTTTGCAAAATCAAGTAAGAAAAATAAGTAGACTGCTTCAAAAAGCAAATAACAGATACTTACTTGGATCAGATTTAGAGAATGTGTCTCTGTCAAGAAGATTTCTGTTGAATGAAAGAAAATGTCAGATGAATATAAGGCCAAAATATTCATATAAATACATAAATGTAAACAAATATATAAATTTTTACATATTGTATATGTAAAATATATGTACACATATATTATATCTGTGATATGTGTCTGCATTGTGTATTATATGTGTTATATATGTATATTATGTATATATGTACATGACTAAATGAAAATTTGCTAAATATGTGCTTGTACTTATTTTTTTGCAGTTTATAAAAAATTATTATTAATTTTATTTTTTCAGTGTTCCAAGAGTCATTGTTTATGCACCACACCCAGTGCTCCATGCAATACGTGCGCTCCTTAATACCCACCACCAGGCTCACCCATCCCCTCTACACGCCCCCCCCCAAAACCCTCAGTTTGTGTATTCAAAGTTCAGGATGCAGGGGTGAGGAAGGCCTATTTGCTCAGCCTTGTACTGCAGCTGGTCAATGACAAGAGTCTCCACATTCGAAGATAAAAATCTGAGAGATGTAACTATTCCAAGTTTCCTTCTATCCCACCATTAATCAGCATACAGATGGTCAGAAATGCTTCCTAAATTGAATCGTGAGTTGTGACTGATGCAAAATTGTTTGAGATTCAGAGCACGTGATCACATGAGAACACAAAATTAGAAGGCAACAGTGAAGCACCACCTGTTGACACTGTCACCTTGTCACAGCAAATCGGAGGAGCTTTATGTTGCTACTCTGGTCTAGGAATTTAAGATGAATGTCCAGATCTCTACCAAAGAATTTTTCAGTGGAAGAAAAAAATTAAAAGGTGGACAAAGCCATTATTAGCATCTATTTATTCTTCTTTACAGATATTTCCATATCTAAACCAGAATGAAAATGGAAAATCAGAAACTGTGGAAGTCTGGATTCCTCTAGTATTGGGCTATCCTGTGTATCTTCAGTGGCAGTAATGCAGTCCCGTACTTTATGCTCATAACAATAACCCTGAGTAATCAAAAAAAATTAATTCAGTATGCCCTGATTAATAAGACAAATTGGAAAAATTCCCATCTAAAATAGATTATTTTCCTAAAAATGGTAATTTGAAGCTATACTCTTGTATGAAAAAATATGGCTACCTAGAATGATGACTTGAATGTACCAAAAGTTAAATTTGTCCTTTTTATTCATCCTTTCTTTCTTTTTTTTTTTTTTAAAGATTTTATTTATTTATTTGTCAGAGAGAGAGAGGGAGAGAGAGCGAGCACAGGCAGACACAGAATGGCAGGCAGAGGCAGAGGGAGAAGCAGGCTCCCTGACGAGCAAGGAGCCTGATGTGGGACTCAATCCCAGGACACCGGGATCATGACCTGAGCCGAAGGCAGCTGCTTAACCAACTGAGCCACCCAGGCGTCCCTTATTCATCCTTTCTTAACTGGCAATAACTATAAGAACAAATTACATTTTTATGCTTAATACTTATACGAAAAATTTCATGTTTAAACTGTCTTATTCTTCCACCCAGGACCACTACTTCTGTGCATTTATCTGTACTGCCCATGGTATCTGAAAGGCCATCTTAAATATCAATGTGATATCCTCTCTTATTTCAGGTTCTCAAAAGTTACTGCTTCCATGGAATCACTGTACAGTAAGAAAATAAAAACACAGTCAACATAACAGCGCAGCACAGACCAAAAAAAAACAAAACAAAATAACATTATGTCTTCAAATAGTCCTAAAAAGAAGAGAAAATATCAGACATATTTATATTTGGAATTAAGTCAGCTTCAAAGACCACTAGTCAGAAATCAAATTAAAATAATCCTTCTGTACAATAAGCAGACATTGTGACTGCAGCAATGGTTAGCAAATAGTAAATTAAAACATTTCCACTTGAAAAATCACTGTGATACATATTTACAAAGGTGGTTCTCCACTTAAGTGGAAGTTCCTCAGCCATTCCCATATCCCCAGACTTTTGCTCATTAGTGTCCTTAAAAAATGTAATTCAGCTCTTTCTTTCAGAGTTCATGATAATTTAAGAGAGATGACAGTGCAAAATATTGCAACGTGGTTGGGACTCAAGAACCATGTCATTCACATAGTTAAAAGAAAATAATGTGATTTCAGTGCCTTTTTCTCTCTTAAAACAAAACAAAACAAAAACAAACAAACAAACAAACAAAACAACTACAACCTTTAGCCCCAAATATAAAATAATGGATACCTAGCAACTAAAAAATTAATATATTTTTTAAAGATGTTATTTATTTATTTGACAGAGAGAGATCACAAGTAGACGGAGAGGCAGGCAGAGAGAGAGAGGGAAGCAGGCTTCCTGCCGAGCAGAGAGCCCGATGTGGGACTCGATCACAGGACCCCGAGATCACGACCTGAGCCGAAGGCAGCGGCTTAACCCACTGAGCCACCCAGGCGCCCCTAAAAAATTAATATTTTTAACCCTAGACTCTACAGGTCACACTGTTTCTTCTGATCATTATGATCCATAATATACATAATATACATGGTAAGGTAAAAATAAACAGAGAAACAAAAAAATCTTGGATCCTTTACATGATAAGAAATAAAACTCCATAATCTCTTTAAAATTAGCCCCTTAAATTAGCAATTTAACTTTCCCAATGCTCTTTGACAATAAATTTCATCAATAAAATTCAAACATATACAATTTCAAAAGTTTGGAAAAGTTTGGAAAGCCAAGTATACTTAAATAGTGTGTGTGTGTGTGTGTGTGTGTGTGTGTGTGTGTGTGTATAAAAGACCAGTGATTATCAAAATTCATCATAAAGTTTGGGTTGGTGATAGAAATAAAGGTTTTTTACCTTTTCAAAATCCTATTAAAAATAAAGCACATTCACATTAAGTAAAACAAGACAGGTCTTATTGTGAAGGCTGTTTTGTAAACAAGAAACTAAGCTGAGGCTCGCAGAGACTGAATGAACGAATAAGAACACACACAGCCCCGTATCATCCAGTGGAATCAGCCCTTCTGAATTTGACTTCTCTGTTCTTCACAAAATGCTGGAGATACACTCCAGCTGGAGAAATGCTCCAGACATAGTGTCCAGAGAAGTACAGAAGAAACAACTTATTTACCTATAAGTGTTGGAAATATGGAAGGCCCCCACATTATACCTACTGGTTAAGCCACTAGAGCATAAAATAAAACAAGTTTCTGTCCCAAGACCAGTATGAAGAGCAATCCTGACTATAGATTGGAGACAAACAGAATGGAGAGCAAGCATAACTGTATTTATTCACAGAAAAATATCTTTGCTTCCTATATGAGGCACTGTAAAAAAAATAACAATAATACACACACACATGCACAAACACATACCACTAATTAGCTTTCATGTGGGAAACTGACACTTCTTTCCATAGAGGTGTCATTTCCTTGAGCCAGGATGCCTGTAATTTTATGCCTTTAAGTTTATAATGTGAGGCTGCACTTCAACAGTGGGTTAAAAATCCTGAATATATTTTTCTATTCTGTAAATCCAGATGTAACCAAAACAAGGAAGAGAGCAAAGTCCTGAAAAGAAATTATGGCAAAATAGAGTATATGAGTAAGAAAACTTCCATGAAGAACTAACTTAATCAAAATTATAATCTGTGAATTGCCGGAGTTGTTCTAGTAACCACTCATCTTCAAATTTCAATTAAAATTCCTGGACTTAAAAGAATACAACTGAAATAGCATCACTAAAGCTGAGGCCCAATCAATTAAATGCTAACCTGATGAAGGAATACCAGGTTAATGGAAGAGGCATATTTTGCAGGAAACCTGAAATAGGAGACTAGATAAAGCAAGAATTAGTAACACCTTTCCAGGAACAGCCAGGAGAAAGGCTTCCCTGACCCCCTTAACCATTTAATCCTCATAGGTATTGATCCCTTGTAACACTTATAATAATAGATTGATGCATCAAACTACCCTCCCTTGATGACAACAGTCCCTTAGCTCATCCTTTAACCCTGCATGTTCTGATTTTATGCCCAAATCACCTTCTGATTTTAAGACAGTTCTCATACCATTATTAGCACAGAACTATACTGAATGGCCCACATGAATATTAGTTTTCTTGGTCATGATAGACTTAATTCCCATTGCAAGACCCGTATTGAACAGTCAGTTCACCCTTAAAATGACTTCTCAGCTAAAGACTCGTCTTTCTCTAACCGGAAAAGAGCAATTCCCTTTAAACTTCAGTATAATTCTGCAAGTATTTTTTAAGCAAATACTCTATGCCCAAGACCTATTTAAACACTACCAAACACAGAATAAATACCAAAGACATGCTCCCTTACTTAAGAAGCCTGAATTGTACTATGTAGAAAAAGTCACAAAAATAACTAAATAACAGGGGCGCCTGGGTGGCTCAAGCCAATTAAGTGTCTAACTTGATTTCAGCCCAGGTCATGATCTCATGGTTGTGAAATCAAGCCTGGCGTTGGGCTCCACACTAGGCATGGAGTCTGCTTAAGATTCTCTCTCTCTCTCTCCCTCTCAAAAACAAAAACAAAAACAAAAAACCTGAATAGCAATATTGGACTGTATATAAAATAGCTGTTATGGGGAGAAAGAACAGTAACCTGAAAACAGAGTCAGATTAATTAAGATACAATTTAAAAAGATCAGGTACAATGGTTAGCTCTTATCCAAACCATTTTTTAAAATATACTAGAGAAAAAAACCCCAATTTATAGGTAGTATATATAATTAAAACTTAACAAATGAATATTAAATAAGTAACTTATTTTTAAAAAGTTCAAGTATTCTTCTCCATTGAATTTATATACAATGAAGCTTTATGAGTGGACTACTAAAGCTTCTCACTCTTCATGTCTATGGTGAGCATACAATAACATGACCTATTAAGGTAAAAGTGATCTGTTAAGTGTGTTAACCTAAGAGTTGTGAGCCTGCTGCTATCTTTCCCGCTCAGTAGATGAAATCACCAAATAAATATTCTTCTTCGAAAGCGTGGTAAATATTGAAT